GCAGCCTCCCCGTCACTGTCTTCCGTGCCCGCCAAGTTGAGGTCGATAGGACCGTCGTATAAACTTCAGGACCCGGAACGGGCCGTCATATTTCGTCGCCAATTTCGCCGCGAAGCCGTCGACTACTCTAGATAGTTGGTGTTGTTTTACTAACACGAGAGAGCCCAAGGCGGGGCGCCATTCGCGTCTTCTCAGGTCGGCATTCGCCCGCTCCGCATTAATTTTGACGAACTCAAATATTTCCTTTATCTTGGCCGCTTTGATTGTGAAGTCTTCTGGGGTGTTCCCGTTCCCTCGTGTCTTCTCTTCGTATAGCGCCTTGGGCATCCTTGGATCGCGGCCTTGCATTAGGAAAATGGGGCTGAAGTTTGTAGTATCTGAGATACTAGAGTTGACTGCCAGTGTTATCTCTGGTAGTGGGTTGTCCCAACTTTCCTGTTCACCCTCGATGAATTGCGCGATCATGCTTTTGACGGTGCGGCTTGCACGCTCCGTAGGATTGTCGTGGGGCGAGTATGGCGCCGTATACTGTAACTCACATCCAAGTTCTCGCATATATTCTTTGAAGGCGCGGCTTGTAAACTACGTGCCGTTGTCACACACGAACGTGCGTGGGACCCCAAAGTGTCCAAGAATACGCTCGCGGAATGCCTTGATTAGGGTCAAGGTGGTGGCCTTCTTGAGTGGGATGAGTTCAACCCATTTGGCAAACGCGTCGAAGAAAACCAACAACATTGTGTTACCGGACTTTGACTTCGGCAAAGGTCCAACAAAGTCGGCACACTATGTCGAACAGGGTTCTTCTATTCGACGAGACAGCGTCTGTCCCGCCGGCTTCTGTTGGTCGACCTTGAACCTTTGGCAGGATAGACAGTCTTGAACATACCTTTTCGCATCTCGACACATCCCTGGCCAGTAGCACTTCGAAGCGACCCGTAGGATCGTCTTCGGTATGCCAAGATGTCCTGCCGTTGGTGCATCGCGACACTCTGCCAGTACTCGTCTCCAGTGGTGTTGAGGTACGCACAGCTTCCATGGCACGAAATCGGCGTAGTCTGGTCGGGTTCCTAGAGTCTAGTAACAACATGAAGGCTCATTTAACAAATAGTTTCTCAACTACATAGAGAAATGGTAAATGGTATAACATGCATGAACAATATACCAAGACAACCAAACAATAATTACAGTAACCAAAGGGATAAAAATAACTTAAGATTTAACCAATATATATATATATATCTATATATATATATACCAAGACTAAGGGAATAATAATATTTTAAGATTTTTCCAAGATAATAATCAAAACTAAAATAATTATAGTAATCAGAATAAAAACAACAACTGGAATCAGGGCAGGTTTAATAAAATCAGTGGAACACTTATAGACCGCAACAAAGTAAAAAAGAGTCAATGGAGATATGCGAATCTATTCAGATTCAGAACAGGGAAAATAACGTTTATAATCAAGGCTATAATATATATCAGAATAATAGTTATAATCGGAATAAATAGAACCAAACTAAAAGAGTTAAAATACAGAACACGCAGCAAAGTCAACCCCAAAAATAAAAAAATTAGCGACGGGAAATATTAACCAACCGTCTAACAAGACAATAGGGTTGAACAATATTGATTTTAAGGACAAAAGTCAGCATGCAGCATGAATATAGCATACTAACAAGAAATGAATAGTTAACAAGAAATGATAATAAAATAAATAAAAAGTTAAAATTATTAATTGGCACTGGGGCAAATTCTTGCTATATTAAAAAAGAAATTTATAAAAGTAGAAATGTGCTGAGGGACCAAAGGGAAATGGAAATATGCAAGCAGCAAAGCGAGATTGATATGCGCCACCTACCGGCGGAAATTTTTTTTTTGTGTCAATCGATAGGTATTGACGATAAAAAGCGTTAAAAAGGGCGTGGCAAACTTTGTTCAATCGATAGGTATTGATGAGAACAATACATTTCAGTTAAAATTTTTATTCTAGCATTAAAACTGTAGGAGCCACAGTCTGGGGCGGCTTGTGGGCGTTACAGTGGGCGTGTCACATTGCTGAAACAAACTTGCGCTGCGTAAGAAGCTCAGGAATCTGCATGCCAAATCTCAATAGCCTATCTCTTATAGTTTCCGAGATCTCAGCGTTCATCCGGACGGACGGACAGACATCCAGACTGACATGGCTAGATCGACTCGGCTACTGATCCTGATCAAGAATATATATACTTTATGGGATCGGAAACGCTTCCTTCTATTTGTTACATACTTTCCGACGAATCTAGTATACCCTTTTACTCTACGAGTAACGGGTATAAAAATGTATCCACAGTGTGCAACTGGTAAATATAGGAGGCTGAAACTGAGAGAATCTGTACTAGCGGGGCACTCTTTATGGTCCGGTACTAGCTCGTCGGCATTGGGGGTGGAGGTCTTGCTCGGACAGATTCACACTAAAGTCACACAGTGTCATTAATAAATTTATAAGAAATTTGAGCGTACTGCGACGGAAGAAAGGAGATATTCAGGGTCTCATCACATTCCTTTTAATGAGGACTAATATACGATTGGATACCAGAAATAACTAAATGATTTACCCGCTCGGCAGCGTTAGCTTGGGGCGAACAGTCGGCGGTCAGAGTGTGCGAAACTCCATATTGGCACATCAGTTTCTGAAAGGCTTCTGATCGAGATTGAGACCCGTTGTCTGACACGGGTCAGAGGTTGCGTTGATCCTTTTAACTGGCTTTAAAAACACGAATTTAGAGAAAGGAAAATGAAATCGAGAACAAAAAATATTTTGGAACTGGGTACGGCCGTAGAAAGTGAATATAGATACGCTGAAAGAATCGTAAGGTTTCAGGTGCATTGCCCATTGGTGGTCTTTAAATCTGGTTCGGTGGTGTAAGGATGTTTTCCCAGCCAGGATATGCTCAGGGGTTGGCTAGGGCCTCCGGGTTAATCGAGTGAGTTTTGAGGCGTGGTGTTTATAATTAGGAGAGGAAATCGAACCAAAAGGTACGTGACTAAACCTAAGACTAGTTACCGAGTTCGGGCAGACCCTGGACTTGGTAAACAGCTATTGTAGAAAGCTCGGGCGGACCCAGGGTTTCGTTACTAATAACTACGATAAAACTCGGGGGACCCAGGGTTTCCCTACTAATAACTACGATAAAACTCGGGCAGACCAAGGGTTTTATTACTAATTACGATAGAACTCGGGCGGACCCAGGGTTTCGCTACTAATAGCTACGATAAAACTCGGGCGGTCAGAGGGTTTTATTAATAACTACGATGAAACTCGGGCAGACCCAGGGTTTCGCTAAACTCGGGCGGACCCGGGGTTTTATTACTAATTACGATAAAACTCGGGCGGACCCAGGGTTTTATTACCAATTACAATAAAACTCGGGCGGACCCAGAGTTTTATTGATAACTAGGATATAACTCTATTAACGGCCGATATGTTAATTAATTACGCGTAGGGGTTACGGTTCCGTTAGGTTTGATCGATTCTCGGGTTAGGGTTATTATCATTCGTTATAATTAATTTATTTATTCGACGGGCTTGATAGAGACGGGTCGAAAGTCAAGGAAAAGGAATACACACTCGTTGTCAAAATTATAATTCAATAAATTTGTCTTTATTTACCGTAGGCTTTTCTCGCCTTCTCGTCTCGTTCACACAACTTCACAAATCTCCGTCTACGATTTTTTTGTTCTAATCGCGTTTCTCGCTGCACCAGTACAAATCCTGCACAACTATACCGTTACGCTTACCGACTACAAAGACCGCGTGGTCTGCCTAATTGCGACTTATCTCGCCTTCCTAAGTAGGTCTATTCGTCTCCGATGTTCGTGTGTCAATCCCCCTGAGTTCCTTCAATTTTTTTCGTTCTCCTGGCCTTGGCCCTTCCGATCTCACCATTTTCTCACCACGCAGTCGCAGTGGTGAACTTTTCGGCAATTTCGAGACTCTCTTTTCTCCGTTTGGCAACAGCAACTCCTCTGCTCTGCCAAGCTCGCTTTTCGATATTCCCTCTCGCTCTCCGTTGTCGTCGACCGCGCAGTCGCTGAGGTGGGCTTTGCCTTTCGTTTAGGTCGTTCAGTTTACTATAACTTTACTATAATATATTTATGTTTGTTTGCGCCTAGGCTTATTATACTAATTTTATAATCCATTGTTATATCTTAAAGCTTATAAAAATCAAAAGGAATAACAATAATAACAATAACAAAAGTATCGTATTTCCTTCTCCCCTCCGTGGGAATCGGGAATAATCGGATCGGCGGCGTCGGAATCGCGGTCACACCCCCCCTTACTACGGCAAGGGCCGTTTTCCCTTCTGCGTCCACATTCCGTGTCCCTCGATACACGTCCCCATCGACTTCTCGGGTGAAGCGGTCCCTCTTTGTCCTTGCGGCACAAATCTCGACAATTCGTCCACTAACTCCTCCGGGAGCATACGGCCGGGCGTGTAGACCCTCCAGGTCTCCGGTGCTTCCAACAACGCCCGTCGAGGGGTCTCAGTAGCGGCTCGCTCTAGCGTCTCGATGTCGTCGTATAACCCTCTTCGACGTTTTCCAGTCCTAGGTCGAAATCGATCACGTCCAGGTCCTCTACTCCGGCCTCTGTTCCGGGTTCCGCCTCTGGTATAGATTGGGCTTCCTCGGGCTCGATCGTCGCAGTCGGGAAGCTAGTATCTTGGGAAACTTCCCACACCCGCTCCCGTAGGACCGGTTGGCGTCGTGCGACTCCGGTTCCCTCAGCGGCATCTTGTTCGTCATTTGTCGCCTGTCCTGTGCTCCGTCTGTCCTCGCGACTCTGCATGGCATTGTTGCCTTCCTCCTGGGGTGGGGGCGTGGGTTCCCGGGCCACCTGGGTGTTCTCGTTGGAGTATCCTTCCCTCCATGCTGCTCGTGCAGCCAAGGGAGGTGCACAAGTGTTGCCGCAGTTTGACTTGGGTGACCCGATATCCCCCAGGGATTGTCGGCCAGTGGTAATCCTCTCGTTCCCTTACGAAGCTGGCAGTCCACTCGCTGTCTTCATCCTCCTCTTCTTCTGACTCTTGTGACTCCCTGTACCAGTCCACCGTTTGGGGTTAGGAAAGCGACCTCCGGTGGGTGCGTAGTCGGCGTGTCGGTCTTCATACGTATGCCCCCCCAGGTTGGCAAAGGATGCTGGGTGAGGGGAATGACACCGGCCGCGGGGAAAAGGTTGGTAGCCCATGTACGTCGAGGGAGAAGATTCCTCCGTTGAGAAACGTGGGTTCGACTGGGACCAGGATGTCGTGAAATCCGAGGACGCGTAATGGGGTGACGCATACTGGGGAGACGCGTAGCGTGGGGACGCATACCGGGGAGACGCGTACCGTGGAGACGCACCCCTGTGGGATGTAATCCCAAGTGAGGTGTCCCGGGTTGACTCGTCTGGTGGCTCACTCGAGACCGATGGGTTGTCCCTTTCTGCTTCCGTCGCAGCCTCCTCGTCACTGTCTTCCGTGCCCGCCAAGGTGAGGTCGACAGGACCGTCCTTCGATTCGGATCCACCGTCGTCCATCTCGCCATCCTCGCCGGTCCAATCTTGAGTGGAGTCTGACTCTTCTTCTTCCATAGCATCTGTAGTGGGTAGATACATTACTTTATATAACTGACCCTAAGATTTCCCTGCCTACTGGTGCAGCTTAAAATAAAGGCCCTATATCTAGTTACAATCTTAAGATACTTGATGTTAGTTAAGGACACCTTACATTACTTCTTCACCTTCCCCTGTCTCATCGCCTCGAAATTCTCTCAACTCTGCAATGTTGGCCACTTTCCTCTTACGTTCCCCGGGCCTCTGGATTCGTACGATGTTCGGCGATATAAGCTTCAGGACCCGGAACGGGCCGACATATTTCGGCGCCAATTTCGCCGCGAAGCTGTCGACTTCTCTGGACAGTTGGTGTTGTTTTACTAACACGAGAGAGCCCAAGGCGGGGCGCCATTCGCGTCTTCTCAGGTTATAGTGGCGCATCTGTTCGGCATTCGCCCGCTCCGCATTAATTTTGACGAACTCAGATATTTCCTTCATCTTGGCCGCTTTGATTGTGAAGTCTTCTTGGGTGTTCCCGTTCCCTCGTGTCTTCTCTTCGTATAGCGCCTTGGGCATCCTTGGTTCGCGGCCTTGCATCAGGAAAATGGGGCTGAGTTTTGTAGTATCTGAGATACTAGAGTTGACTGCCAGTGTTATCTCTGGTAGAAGGTTATCTCAACTTGCCTGTTCACCCTCGATGAATTGCGCGATTATGGTTTTGACGGTGCGGCTTGCACGCTCCGTAGGATTGTCGTGGGGCGAGTATGGCGCCGTATACAAGTGTGAGTACATCCAAGTTCTCGCATACATTCTTTGAAGGCGCGGCTTGTAAACTACGTGCCGTTTTCACACACGAACGTGCGTGGGACCCCAAAGTGTCCAAGAATACGCTCGCGGAATGCCTTGATTAGGGTCGCGGTGGTGGACCTCTTGAGTGGGATGAGTTCAACCCATTTGGCAAAGGCGTCGAAGAAAACCAACAACATTGTGTTACCGGACCTTGACTTCGGCAAAGGTCCAACAAAGTCGGCACGCCATGTCGAACAGGGTTCTTCTATTCGACGAGACAGCATCTGTCCCGCCGGCTTCTGTTGGTCGACCTTGAACCTTTGGCAGGATAGACAGTCTTGAACATACCTTTTCGCATCTCGATACATCCCTGGCCAGACCCGTAGGATCGTCTTCCGTATGCCAAGATGTCCTGCCGTTGGTGCATCGTGACACTCTGCCAGTACTCGTCTCCTGTGGTGTTGAGGTACGCACAGCTTCCATGGCACGAAATCGGCGTAGGGTCCCTAGAGTCTAGTAACAACATGAAGGCTCATTTCACAAATAGTTTCTCAACTACATAGAGAAATTATGACCAGCCAACCTCGGGTGGCAATGGTAAAACCTGCATGAACAATATACCAAGACAACCAAACAACCAGCGTGCTGACCGGCCGGCTTCCCCTTTCCCCGCCGCGATGCCGACTCAGCGCGGCAACATGCGCCGGCCGGCCGCTGACCTACCTGCCCCCCGCACCCCGTGCGGAGTCAGCACAACGACATCCGCTGGCCTGGCTCGGGAACGCTGACCGCTCACCGTGCAAGTGGAGCACGGTGAGAACTGCAAGGTCGGCAAAACTTCAGCCGGCCGCTGACGCTGACGCCAACGTCGACGCCGGGACTGCACTCACCGGGCTCTGGCAGGTGTCGGCGCAGAAGACTGGGGCAGAGCCAATTGGACCGGCAAACCAAGACGACTTATCAACTTAGATTTATTAAGTAAAGAATTATTATAACGAACTCTAAAGGCCGACGCTATTCATTGGGAGGAGCACTAACACACATAAAGGGCAACTCTACCGATCGTGAAGAACGAGCTACGCTTGGGACTGCACGAGCACTCAGGAATGTCTAGGTATTGAGTCGGTCCTTCCCGGGGACATGCGAGGCCCCTCGGGAAGGACTTAACTGGCGTCCGAACAGGGACCTCTCCATTAAGCGATGAGGATCCCTAGGACAAAAAGTGGGAGGTGAAAACTGTGTGTGTCGTGTGAAAAAAATTTCTTTTGAAAAAATTTTTAAAAAATGAAATAAATGTGGAAAAAAGTATATGACAAGAAAATGCATTCCCAGTCGATTCCGAGACAAATGAACGAGAAAAAATAATTAATTAAAGTGACCGACCCGCTGCGGTGATCTAATTCACGAGCGCAAAAGGTTATAGTGAAACAAAAGAAGCGGCCAAACCGCCGCGGTGGTTTGTGTGTTGCAAATATAAAGAAATATAAATTTTGATAACCGCTGCGGTAACTTGTTTACGAGCGGCCACCCTCTATAATAAAAAATATATAAAGTGGAAAGTGGTGTGGGTAATTCACTAGATACGCTCAGTGTTACCAGCACAGGAAGAGCCGCCTAGTGGATTGTGTGGCAACCGTACCTTAGTAGGTGGTAAAACCAAAAAGGAACAATACGGCCCACCGTGCCTAACATCGAATAAAGAAGGGAATCGGAACGAAAACAAAAAATATACAACAAATATGTTAAAAAAAATATACAACAAATATGTTAAAAAGAATTTACAACAAATATGTTAAAAAGAATATACAACAAATATGTAAAAAAAAATAATATACAAAAAATATAAAAAAATATACAACAAATACGAAAAAATATATACCACAAAAAAAAGAAATTTATACAATATATACAACCACGAAACAAGTATAAAAAGCTTGAACACACGCAAAAATTCACTTCCCGCTTTAAAAAAAAAAAAAAAAAAAAATTTTGTACCTATACTAAAATAATTTTTTTTTATAGAATCTGCACTTTGTAAGTGACCAACTCAACACACGAAGAACATAACTGGAACACAAATATAACTACACGAATCACGGGTGAGTGAAGCTTTTTCAGCGAATTTATTAAATAAAAATATATCCCATCAAAATCTTATCCGTCACCCCATTGTCTTTTAAAAAATCCCAAGACTTTCATTTAAAAAAAAAACCCCAAGACTTTGAATCGATTTTTTTTAATATGGAGGAAATGAAGGCAGCACTTACCAAATTTGAGGCAACCTTGGCCTTGTTGCTTGGCCAGATGGTCGATGTTAAAGAGGATGTGAAAAAGGTTAGTGACAAGGTAGCGAGCCTAGAGGAGACTCGAGAAAAAGTTAACGAAGTTGCTCCTCAATCAAAGCCTTTGACCCCCGCTCGTACGGAGTACGAGTTAAAAGAGATAGCTAGATTGCCAGATTGTGTAAAGGAATTGCAGGTGTTTGAGGGCGAAGCTGGTGGCTACGACCCTTGGATGGGTGGAGCGGAGGCCATTCTGAAGGACTACGAGATAATCAAGGAAAGGCCTCTCTATCGTTCTATAGTCGTTAGCATTAGGCAAAAGATTAGGGGTAGTGCCGAGACGACCCTTTTGTCGTACAACGTGGCAGAAGACGACTGGCCCGAGACGAAACGCGTCCTGATGCTCCACTACGCCGATAAGCGGGATCTGCGCACGCTGGAATACCAGATGGGGCAAATGACTCAGGGGGCGAAGACGATAGACGCGTTTTACTCAGGAATAAATGCTCATTTTGCCCTGATAATACGCTGTCTTAAAAATGGTAACCAAAACCCGGAGATTCTTAGCGCGCTCGTCGAAACCTATAGGGACAGAGCCTTGGACGTTTTTATCAGAGGTCTGAGCGGTGACCTCTCGAAGCTATTAGTTATTCGCGGCCCAAAGAATTTGCCAGAGGCCTACGCAATCTGCTTAGAATTACAGAATCTGACCTCAATGAATCATGTCACATACCCTACCAAGTTTTCATCCCCTCAGCCTTACCGCCAAAAGTACTCTTGGCCCCAACCTAACTACTCTTCCTATAACAAACAATACCAGTACCAGGACGCAGGCAGGAATTCTCAGCCCCCGCACAGATATTCAAATCCCCGAGCGATCAAAATGGAGCCCCACCAGTCCGGCCACTCCTATCGCTCGAACCAGGGTAACGATAACCCGAGCATTAAGCGCAGCCCCAGCACCTCATCTAACCTTAACCCTTTCCGGAAATCCCAAAGATTATATCAACTAAATGCTGCCCCATCCTCGGATGAGGCCGCTTTTAGCCAGCATGAAGAAAAACCCGTCAGTGAGGCTTACTACGGTGAAGCCTTACCAGACAATCAGGCTGGCCACCAACCTCACACGGAGTCTGGTAGTAGCGGGGCGGCAAATTTTATGGCCGACGCCTCTCTAGCGTTCCATACATAGAGTATGGCGTGAAAGATGGGGCTAAGCTGCAGTTTCTGATAGACACTGGCGAAAATAAGAACTTCATTAGCCCCCAGATAGCCGAGGGATGCAAGCCCTTGACGAAACCCTTCCCGGTGCAATCCGCTGGGGGGGAAATAAAAATAACGCATCAACTAACCGGACCATTCTTCAGACCCATAGGTAATGACTCTCCAGTCACCTTCTTTGTTCTTCCGCGTTTAACTGCCTTCCATGGCATTATTGGGGACGACACCCTAAAGTCCCTTAAAGCAGTCATTGATAGGAAAAATGATTCTTTAACGATAACGCCAGGAATAAAAATTCCGCTACTTGCCATGCCTTCCTTAGGTGTCCACTCCCTAATCGACAGTGAACACCCAGTAGAAGCGAAGAAATGCCTCGAATCCCTAATTTCCGAATTCTCCACGATTTTTGATCCACTCTCGCCAGGCGAGGCCGTGGACACAAGTGTCCGAGCCGAAATACGAACAAGTACCCAGGAACCCATTTATTCAAAAAGTTACCCTTACCCCGCGAACATGAGAGGAGAAGTGGAAAACCAGGTCGACGAACTCCTGCGCGAGGGAATAATTAGACCCTCCAAAAGCCCCTATTAACGTGTTTAGGAACCAACTTGTCCTTGACCCAGATAGGTTAGAATATTCTCGCGAGACCCCACATACGGAATACGTACGCCACTTGATCCCCATTGATAGCACACAAGACTTGCTACCCTGTTTATTGAAATACTTGAAACCATTAATTATCAATGGCATAAAAATTCCTGAGAGCTACTTACAATCTCTGCAAGAGCGCTGCCGGGAGAACCTCCCGGGGTACAAACTTCGCATTACGCAAAGACTGGTAACCGATGTAGCGGGTGAAGAAGAGACGATTAGAATAATAAACACAGAGCATACTAGAGCCCACAGGAATCCGAAAGAGATGAAGTTACAGATCTTGGAAAAATTTTATTTCCCCAGAATGGCCAGCCGCATTAGGTCGTTGGTCTCTTCCTACCGGACCTGTAAAATGTTTAAATATGACAGACACCCGGCCAAGCCGGAATTGCAATTAACACCTATCCCTAATTACCCATGCGAAATCCTGCACATTGACCTTTTTACGATTGAGAGTCTCAAATTCCTGAGTTGTATAGATAAATTTTCAAAATTTGCCAAACTTTTTCCGATCGAATCAAAGTCGGCAGTCCATCTCCGCGAGAAGCTGACCGAAGTCCTGCACTATTTCACAGCACCGAAAACGATAGTTTCGGACAACGAAAGGGGTCTACTCTGCCCCACAGTGCTCAATTATTTACAATCTCTCGGTATAACCGTTTATTACACATCTTCTCAGAAGACTGAAGTAAACGGCTAGGTTGAGAGATTCCACTCAACATTTCTCGAGATATACCGGTGTCTGAAAAACGACAACCGTAACTTGAAGGTAATCGAATTGGTTTTTATTGCCGTGGACAGATATAACAACTCTATCCATTCGGTGACGAACCGCAAACCAGTCGATATCTTCCTAAATAGGACTTCCAGGATAAATTATCAGGGACTCAACAATTTTAAAGAGCAGACGCAGGAAGACATAAGGGGGTTACTCCTACACAA